TGAAAATCCCTTCCGCACAATTATTTGTAAACGGTATATTAGACGTTATTCGGCCATATACAGTTTGTTTAAAAAAACGAAACACAAATTTTACGGATATAAATTGATCAATAGAATTATCTGATTCAATAGGTTTATTTAAAAAAGTTATTTAAAGCTTTATTTATTATATTTTTCTTGGCTGTCGTACAAAGTTTGATTTTCTGTTTTTTATAAAAAAAGTGTTTCAAAAACATGGCTATTTTTTTTAAGGAAATTAAAAAATGATCTGTAGGTTTTCCCTCCAAATCTCGTTTATTTTACAATTTTTTAAATGTCTAATGCAACTTACGCCTGAGCTCAGATTGAAAATTTATTGCCTTTACGATCAAAAAATGACACAAGCCAAAATAGCCGAACAAATTTGTGTATCTAAGAGTACTGTCTCAAAACCCCCTTCTAAATACAAAAAACTGGACAATTTGTGCATTTAAAACAAAATGCGGGGGGCTAAAGATTTTTTGTTAAGGATGATATTAATATTATTATGACTTTAAATAAAAAAAAAACATAAAACTTTTTTGAGAAAGTTATCAGTTGAGTTTTTACAAAGAAGCAAAAAGTGATATTTCATTCAATTATAAAAATTACACTAAATTTTTATTCTTTTTATGCATCCCTGGCCTAAAAAAGCCTGTTTTATTAAAAAAAATATATTTTAGTAAGGAAAAAAAATTCAGAAAAAATTATATACACGTCTAATGAAACTATAAAGGCCATTATTGATTTTGAAGAAAGTAAATTTAATCTCATTAAAAATGACAATAGAGTTTTTACTGGAGAAAGCCCTATACAGGTCTTTCTCCAAAAAAATCATTGCTACAGTTAAATACAGGAGAGTCCTTGTAATGATGTGGGGATGTTTCTCATATCATGGAGTAGGGAGGTTGGTTTTTATAGATGGTATTATAAATTTTATAGCAAATATAGATATTTTGGCTAACAATCTACGTTCATCAGCCGAAAAAATGGGAATAGAAACATTTATTTTCCAACAAGATAATAATCGTAAATATACATTAATACTTGCCGAGAACTACTTTACCAAAAAAAATCGAGTTGATTTTTTGTCCACCACAATCTCTAGATTTAAACCCAATAGGAAACTTTGGACCATTATAAAACAGAAATTATCTAAATTAATTATAAAAACTAAGGAAGAGTGAAAAGCTGCTATACAAGCTGTATGGAATTCAATAACAAAAGAAATTTGTGAAAATTTGGCGTTAAGTTTCAAAAAAAGAATATAAAGTGTTATAAAGCTTCGGGCCTATACATTCAGAATTAAATTTTTAAAAGTGTTCATGTTTTTGAAACATTTTTTTATATAAAACAGAAAATCAAACTTTTTACATCAGCTAACAAAAATAAAAATAAAACTCTCTAAATAATACTTTTTAGTAAACTTATTAAATCAGAATATTTTATTGGTCAATTTATACCGGTAAAATTTATGTCCCACTTTTTTTTGAAACAAGCTGTATATCTAAATTTTGGAAAAATCGTTATAAATCCATTTTTTTAAATAAGTTAAAAAATTATTAATTGCTACATGTGTAACTTGCTAAAGTAATAAATTTTTGATGGAAATATAAAAATTATACCGATATCTTGTTTTGTAAATGCTAAACTGGCTATGCATTAAATATAATCTAAATGTTGTATCTTCAAGATAATTTTGTTTTAATCTCTCAGCAAAAAAATTTTTATAAACTGCTTG